TAGAGGGGAGGGCGGGGGGGGGATGGGTTAGCCTGGTGATGGGTATTAAGGAGGGCACGTACTGCATGGAGCACTGGGTGTTACACGAAAACAATGAATCATGGATCACTACATCAAAAACTAATGATGTATTGTATGGTGACTGACATAACATAATAAAATTAAATTACATTTAAAAAAATACTTGAAAAGCTAAAAAAAAAAATGAAGTTGGATTCCTACCTCATACCATATACAAAAATTAACTCAAAATGGACCAATGACCTAAATATAAGAGCTAAAATAATAAACCTTAGATGAAAACACTGAAGGTAAAGCTTCATGACTTTAGATTTTTGGCAATGGATTCTTAGATATGACACCAAAACCATAAGCAACAAAAGAAAAAAAACAGATAAATTGGGCTGCATAAAATTAAAAACTTGTGCATCAAAGGACATTATTTAAAAAGTGAAAAGACAACCTAAAGAATGGGAGGAAATATTTGCAAATCATATATCTAAGGCTCTAGTATCCAGAATATATAAGGAATTCTTATAAATCAAGAACTGAAAGACAAATAACCCAATTAAAAAATAGGCAAAGGGCTTGGATAGACATTTCCCCAAAGAAGATATGCAAGTGACTGATAAATACATGAAAAGATGCTCAATATCATTAGTCATTAAGGAGATGCAAATCGAAATCACAATGAGGTACCACTTCAAACCCACTAGAAAATTTTTTTAAAGGAAAATATGGGAAAATGAAAAATAATGCTGGCAAAGATGTAGAGAAGTGGGAACACTCATAGATTGCTGGTGGAATGTAAAATGGTGCAACCACTGTAAAAAAACATTTTGGTGGTTCCTTAAAAAGTTAAACATAGAATTACCATATGGTCCAGCAATTCCACTCCTAGGTATATACTCATAAGAACTGAAAATTGGTACTCAAACAAATAGATGTATATGCATGTTCATAGTAGCACTATTCAAATATCCAAAAGATGGAAACAACCCAAATATTCATCAACAGATGAATGGTTGAACAAAATGTGGTATATTCATTCAACAGAATATTATTCAGCCACAGGAGTGCTTGGGTGGCTCAGTCAGTTAAACGTCTGCCTTTGGCTCAGGTCAAGATCTTGGGGTCCTGGAATCGAGCCCCATGTCAGGCTCCTTGCTCAGCGGGGAGTGTGCCTCCCCCTCTTCCTCTGCCACTTCCCTCCCCTCCATTCATGCTCTCAGTCTCTCTCTCTCAAATGAATAAATAAAATCTTTTTTTATATACAGCCATAAAAATGAATAAGGTACTGATACATGATGCTACATTGTGGATGAACCTCAAAAACATTATGCTAAGTGAAAGAAAGGAGATACAAAAGGCCATATATTGTATAATTCCACTTACACTAAATATTTAGAATAGGTAAATCCACAAAGATAGTGACTGCTGGGGGCTGGGAGAGGGGTGTGTAAGAAGCAATGGCTTAGTAGATTCAATTTCCTCTTAGAGTGATAAAAATGTTTTGGGACTAGATAGAGGTTATGGTTACATAAGATTATGAATGGTTTATGGCCCATTTAAGTGATTAATTTTGTGTTATGTGAATTTTGCTTCAATAAAAAAATTAAACAATAAGTTAACTAGACTTATTGTGGTGATCATTTCACAATATATACATATAAGAAATTAAGTAGTAAAGAAATCAAGATTAGATCCTTTCCCGCTTAGGTCGTCCATATTTTATGGTTTCAATTTTAAAATACAGTAGCAAAATCATGACATACCTTGGGTTATTACTTCTTTAGGGTTTTATTAGATGTCATGCTAACGAATTCTTCCATCATTTTCATCTACTCTGTACAATTCAGATTTCAGTCCAAGGCTTCAGGAACATTGCAAACAGCTGCACTGGAATTATGCATCTGACCATCAACGACATGCCAACTCTAACGGACAACTGTATAAAAGTAGGTAGTTGCAAAGTACATTTCTTCTCAGTCCTAATAGATGGGTACATTTTCTAGTGGCTTGGATTACTGAAAAATATGAATGGGATTTTCAATTTAGTTGTTTTTATAGTAAGAAAATCATTAAAAAATTTACACACACACAAACATTTGAACATTTGAATCCTTACATACCCTAAAAAACTCCGTTTCCCAATTAGGATATTTTTATTTCAGAGATCCTGTAGCCTAAGCATAAACTTTAACTTTAGTTCTCTGTGTCAAACTTCTAAATATAGTGATTTTTTTCAGCATTCCATTTTCTCATGTTTTCCCCCACTTTGTAACATGATTTAATTTTGATTCCTCTCCATTACTCAAGTGTAAGTGTGCTCAAATATATTGAATAAAGGTACCATTGTCTTTGAAATTAGGAAAATTTAATAGTTAATATGTCTCCTTCTGAAAATATTGAGAAAAATAAATAACCTCATTACTTTGCTAAGCTTGTTCTATACACTGTGGTAAATTTAATCATCTTTTTTTCTTCTAAAGGCTTTAGTTGAGAAGTGTTCTCGTATAACATCAATAGTTTTCACTGGTGCGCCTCATATCTCTGACTGTGCTTTTAAAGCTCTTTCTACTTGTAACCTCAGAAAGATCCGATTTGAAGGTCTGTGATATTAAAAATGGGGTTCAGCATTAATGTTTACTTTTACTCTTGGGGCATTACAAATACAATACTTGCCTTCTGTTTTTTTTTAAACAGGAAATAAAAGGATTACTGATGCGTGCTTCAAGTTTATAGACAAGAATTATCCAAATATCAATCACATTTACATGGCAGGCTGCGAGAGAATAACAGATGGTTGCCTTAAGTCACTTTCACCTTTGAAGCAACTGACTGTGTTGAATTTGGCAAATTGTATAAGGTAATGAGTCACTCAGTTATATATTCAAGAAATATTGATTATCTAAAATGTGTGAGACCCTCTTCTTAAGGGGCTCACTAGTTAGTAAACATGAAAGTCAGGAGTTCAAGTACAGGGAAGTGCAGAGTTCTGTGGTAACATAAAGAAGGGGCACCCATGTGGAATCATGGACTCTTATAAGATTAAATGAATTCACAGGAACACTACGGGCTACTTTTCCTAATGAGGATTCTCATGGTTAGTTCAGTTTTACCACAGTGTATAGAACAAACAGGACTTTTCCCAAACGGACTTTGTTAGTTGCTTAGGAGAAACCAATCTTACTGAAGGGTTTCCTCTTCATACTCTTGGTTAGATTTGTCCTCTGTGTGGAGTCCCTAACAGATGGACAGATGACAAGTTCTTAATGAAACCCTTTCTTCAGCTGGGTATTGGGCTTCTATCCTGGTATTCTCAGGTGGGCAAGAATCAAATTCTTTTTTTTTTAAGATTTTATTTATTTATTTGAGAGAGTGAGAGAGGGAACTCACGAGTGGGAGGGAGGGGCAGAGGGAAAGGGAGAAGTAGACTCCCCGCTGAGTAGGGAGCCCACTGTAGGGCTTGATCCCAGGACCCAGAGATCATGACCTGAGCCAAAGGCAGACGCTTAAATGACTGAGCCACCCAGGCAACCCAGGAAAGCATTTTCTATTTAGGCTTCTAGGACTCCTTAGATTAAGAATAAAATATAGGTGCTCACAATTAAAAATTATTACATGTATAAAGATATGAGTCACCATGAGAAAGAGTTACCAGAAACAGCAAAATAAATTTGACCTTCAAATAATTCAGATATTGGAGTTGTCAGACATAGGATATTAAGCAAATATGTATGAAATGTTTGAAGAAATTAATGAAATCAGAAATATGAGCAGGCAACAAAATATGAGAAAATAACTAGATTTATTTAGAAAAACAACTTTTAGGAATAAAAAAATATAGTTATATATTGATATATATATAATATATTGAAATATATTTGAATATGATATATTGAAATAAACCCAGTGGATTGCCAGTCAGCAGATTAGAACTCACTGAGGAGAGAAGTACAGAGATGGAAGATAATGTCTTCCATGACAGCAGAGTAAAAAAAAAAAAAGAAGAAGATGAAAAATATGAAAGAGTATATCATAGGGTAAAAAGACAGAGAAGTTTAGTATCAGAGTTTCAGATTAGATTTTAAAACTTCATTTATAAGAGACAAGCCTAAAACAGTAATTTCGAGAGTCAGAGAATATACATTTTCCTCAACCACACATCAATCTTTTTTAAAATGGGCTGTGCATGAAGTTTTAAAGCAAGTTTCAATAACTTTCAAATTATTAGTATCAACAAACTTTATTCTCTCACTACAATGCTATTAAATTAGGAATCAGTAATGAAAAGGTAAATTAAAAACATATATATGATTTAAAAGCAAAAATTCCAGGGTATCAGAATCACCCAAGGAGCTGAATAAAACTACACATGCCCAAGCCCTACCCTAGAGCTCCTGAATCTGAATATTTAGGAATGGAACCCCAGATTCTGTATTTTTTTTGAAAAAACTGGTTGGCTCAGATGGTTGAGCGTCTGCCTTCAGCTCAGGTCATGATCTCCAGGTCCTGGAATTGAGCTCCACGTCGGGCTCCCAGCTCCCTCTCTCTCTGCCTCTCCCTCTGCTTGTGCTCTCTCTCTCAATCAAATGAATAAATAAAATCTTAAAAAAAAAACACACAACAAAACAACATAGATGCTTTTGACGCACAGCCAGATTTGGGATTAACTACATTAACCAATTAACTGGGACCGTTACGTGAATAATCCTTTTCTGTTGACTTTTGATGCCTCCTGGATTATAATATAAAATTATAGATACATATATATACACATATTTATACATACATTTACATATATATGTACATTCACACACATATGAGTGTGTGTATATATATATATATATATGGATGTGTGTATGTATGTTTTCAGACTACCTTTTCTGTTCCATTCACTTATCTGTCTTCTATCTAATTTTATACAGTATTTTATCTGTAAAATGGGGAAAATAAGAGTATAAACTCAGGACTGTTTTGAGGATCAAATATGTTAATTCATGTAATATGCTTAGAATAGCGTCTGGCACATAATAAACACTCAATAAATGTTACCTATTATTATTGCTTTATAATATGTTTTAATATCTAATGGAATTAGACTCTCCTTAGTAAGTTAGATATTTTTTGCCAGTTTATTCTTCCAAATGAACTTTAGAAACTTTTTTTTTTTTTTAAATAATCTATGCCCAATGTGGGGCTTGAACTCATGACTGTAAGATCAAGAGTCACATGCTCTACCAACTGAGCCAGCCAGGTGCCCGTCCAAATGAACTTTACAACAATTTGGTCACATTTCAGAAAAAATCCTATTGAGATATTAATTGAAATTGTGTTAAATATATAAATTAATTTTGGAAAAATATAGTTTTACAATAGTTATTTGATTTTCTCTTTATCCAAGAATTATTTATTGAAGATATATTCAACTTCCCAAATTATACATAACTCGTGAATCGTTGAACAGTACATCAAAAACTAGTGATATACTATATGCTGGCTACTGAACATAAGAAATTAAAAATAAATAAATAAATTAATTAAAACGCTAAAAAAAAATTCCCATGTAGTTTATGGTTAATAATCACTTTGTAAATAATTTTCAGTTTTATGACATCATGGTACAAAAAGATGGCTTGCACAATTTCCGTCTTTCGGAATTGAGATTTTTTTATTTAGGGGTAAAGGTGGTGGGGAAGATGATGATTATGTTAATATGTTGGATACCTTTAAATATTGCATGGAACTTAAACTGAATTACTTATATTATTCTAATTTTTATGCCTCTTTTTTGTTTGTCAAAAGCTCAGTCTACCAAAAAAATTGTATCTTAATTATGTTCTTTTTGAATTTCTATTTTCATTTTATTTTATATTTATGCTTTATTATATGTTGCATAAAAATTCATAACTAAAGTTACCAAAACAAACAGACTGAACTTGGACTTCCCCTCTGTAACAGAAAATATATTTATAATTGATATTTATATTATTACTGTTTATATTATGTTTATTATTGTATATATTATTCTTTATATTATTATATGTTCGGTATTTCTATTGCGGATGAGAAATCCAGAGGTCAGTCCGATTTTTTTTTTTTTAATAACACACACACACACACACAACGTATTTTTAAAATCACTACATAATTACTCCATTTCACTGTCACAGTTTCACGGGGGAAAGAATATGATCTCAAGAATCTATACCCAATATACTATCTTCATTGTGGGTGGTAACTTTAATCAACATAAAATTACCTTGTAGTCTTATTTAATATTTTTATTAGCATAGTGTTTTGACTCAATGTATTCATTATTTGCCACTGCTGTATTATTTTTATTTACATTTGCCTAATACATCTTTGCAATTTTTTTTGTTATGTTGTCATCTTATTTTAAATGTGTTTTTTGTAGACTACTTATAATTTAGATTTTATTTGTTAAACCAATTTGAAAATCTCTTGTCTTTTAATAGGGGATATTTTCAACTTATTTATATTTATCATTATTATAAAACTGATATATTAGGTCTTCCTTGGCTTCTTCCATGTTTCTACTATTTGTACTTACTTTTTACCTTTTTGTTTTTATTTACTCTTCTTTTTTAACATATGGATCATGTTTTGCTATTTTAAAAGCTTTTATATATCACTGATTATTGCTTTGTTTTTACTTATTCTTGTATCTTTCTCAAGAATCCTCTTTATTTAAAGATTGAATCCTAGTTCTCTATTTTTTATCTCATTTATTTTTAATTCTTAATCTTTCTGCATTTCAAAGGAACTTCTCAAATATGCCTTCTACTAATATTTTAAAGGGTCAATTTTGGTTTTGATGACTTAAATTAGGTTATTATTCTTATCATTGAATTTTTAGTTTGTCATCTTTTTTTTTGACTTGTTTGTTAATTTGAGTATAGTTGACACACAATGTTACATTAGTTTCAGGTGTACAACTTAGTGATTTGACACCTTTATACATTATACTGTTTTCACCATCTGTATGTAGCTACCATCTGTCCTGTTATATCATTATTACAATATCATTAGCTGTATTCCTTATGCTGTATTCCTTATCCTTTTATTCCCTTGACTTGGTCATAACTGGAAGCCTGTATCTCCTCTTCAGCCTTTTGCTTATCCTCTCACCCCTCTACCCTCTGGCAACCATCAGTTTGTCCTCTGTATTTATAGGTCTGATTCAGCTTTTTGTTTGTTTATTCCTTTGGTTTTCTTCTCTCTCTTTTTTAATTTCACTTACGAGTGGAATCGTATGGGTTTTTTTAGATTTCATTTGTTGCTGGGAATGGTCAGCAATCCCTGTACCGACGGATGAAAGATTACTCCAAACTTTGCCGTGAAAGAGAGGGGAAGGCAAGGGGGCAACGCTCAGAGATGAAGACCCTTTGCTCTTCTTTGCTCCCACTTTTATTGGTCCTTCAGGCTATCCTTGTCACTGTTTCTCAAGCATGTGATGTGTGACAAGGGGTCTTACTGAAACTGAGAGGATTTACGGGAAAGATAAGATATGCTAATCTACGCGTTCAACTAAACATAGCCTAAGGTACAATGCATACATCTCTTAGATCACAGGGTGGCTGTTTGGGCTAAGACAGCTTCAGGGAAGGCAACTTCCCCGGCATTCCAACGGCAGAGTGGTCACGTAGGCCTCGGCATTCCAAAGGCCCACGCCCTTCTCCGAAACCTTCCCTTGCCCCCAGCGGCCTGTGTGTTACATTTTAGCAAGCCAGGTATTATGGTTGATTTCATGCTCCGTATTAACCCCAACAATTTTTGAGTGGAATCATATGGTTTTGTCTTTCTCAGTCTGACTTAGGTCATGTAGGTCCCTCCAGGTCCATCCATGTTGTCTCAAATGGCATGATCTCATCATTTTTATGGCTGCGTAATATTCTATTGTGTGTACTGTATAGTGTGTGTGTATATATGTATGTACACCACATTTTCTTTATCCATTCATCAACTGATGAACACTTAGATTGCTTCCATATCTTGGCTATTGTAAATCATGCTGCAATAAACATGGGGTGGATATATATTTTTTGAATTAGTGTTTTCATTTTCTTTGGGTAAATATCCAATAGTGGAATTGCTGGACCCTATGGTAGTCCTATTTTTAATTTTTTTAGGAACCTCCATACTGTTTTCTGTCGTGGCTGTGCCAATTTACATTCCCATCAATGGTGTACAAATTTTCCCTTTTCTCCACATCCTCACCAATACTTATTATTTCTCGTCTTTTGGATACCAGACACTCTGACAAGTGTGAGGTGATATTTCATTGTAGTTTTGATTTGCGTTTCCCTGGTGATGAGTGATGCTGAGCATCTTTTCATGTGTCTGTTTGGCCATCTATAGGTCTTCTTTAGAAAAATGTCTATTCATGGGACGCCTGGGTGGCTCAGTCATTAAGCATCTGCCTTCGGCTCAGGTCATGATTCCAGGTCCTGGGATCGAGCCCCGCATCGGGCTTCCTGCTCCGTGGGAAGCCTGCTTCTCCCTCTCCCACTCCCCCTGCTTGTGTTCCCTCTCTCGCTGTGTCTCTCTCTCTGTCAAATAAATAAATAAAATCTTAAAAAAAAAATGTCTATTCAGGTCCTCTGCCCATTTTCTTAATTGGAATATTTGTTTTTTGGATGTTGACTTGCATAAGCTTTTATTTTTTTATTTTTTTTATTTTTTTTTTGACAGAGAGAGACAGCGGGAGAGGGAACACAAGCAGGGGGAGTGGGAGAGGGAGAAGCAGGCTTCCCAGGGAGATGTGGGGCTCAATCCCAGGACCCTGGGATCATGACCTCAGCCAAAGGCAGACGCTTAACGACTGAGCCATCCAGGTGCCCCTAAGCTTTTTTTTTTTAAATGATTGTTTTTTTCTTTTTACAAAAGTTTATTCTTAAATGTACAACAAGATCTAAGAAAACACTTCATTCTAGCTGTAGGTGGCAACAGATGCTATGACAGGGAATCCAGATGTTTAAACGGGAATGGAATTAAGGATCACCTTTGCCTCAGGCACAAGGAACAGCTTATTTTTTGCCAGATTTCTTTTTTTTTTAAGATTTTATTTATTTATTTGACAGAGAGAGCGCAGCAGAGGGAGGGGGAGAAGCAAACTCCCGCTGAGCAGGGAGCCCAATACAGGGCTTGATCTCAGGACCCTGATATCGTCACCTGAGCCGAAGGCCGACACTTAACTGACTGAGCCACCCAGGTGCCCTTTGCCAGATTTCTTAATTCCACCTGTGGCCCTGGAGGCTTTCCCCGTGGTCTTTGCTTTTAGCTCTTTGAGTTTCTTTTGCTCCTCTTTCTGTTTCTGCTTCAACACCTTCTCTTCCTCGTCCGTCTCCTTGGGCTGCTTCAGGGGCCTCTTCCTGCCACCTTTGCAGCTGGGCATGGCACCTGCCCCCCCTTCGCCAGACCCTGCCACCAGAAGATGACTTTTATAAGTTCTTTATATATTTTGGATATTAACCCCTTATCAGACATAATTTGCAAACATCTTCCATTCAGTAAGTCTCATTTTGTTTGGTTGGCTTCTTTTGCTGTGCAAAAGGTTTCATTTTGATGTAGTCCCCCAATAGTTTATTTTTGCTTTTCTTTCCCTTGCCTTAGAAGACATATCTAGAAAACCTAGATATCTAGAAAAATATTGCTATGTTTGCCATCTGTTCTTTATCTCAGGTGGCCACCTTTTCATCTTAGAATGCATCTTGTTACAGCCAGGTTGCTCCTTATTAATTCCTATTGCTTCTTTACACTGTTTACTATGTTCTAATGTTTTTGTATTTTCTTTTAAAAGTCATTATCAGAGGTTTGCTTTCTCAAGTCTTACAAATGCCATGCCATATTTGTTTTCTGGTTAGTAAAAATATCTCTCAATGAATACACCAGCCCTGCTGCTTGCCAAGAGATAAGTTGATCAATTGTGTTTATACTCTCCTTCTCCCTTCTGCCCTCCCATTCCCCCACCCACCAAGCCCTTAACTGCTTTCCCAGGTGCTGCCACAGTCCCCCTGTCCTATTACAGATGGAAGGGGAGTTGATGGACAAAGGAGGTATCCCATTCAACTGAAACAGGCCCATTCACCTTCTGCCTGTATTGCTTGGCTCTTTGTAAATCTGACCAAATAGAGGGTATAAGAGATATCAGCAGTCAACTTATATGGCTCCCAAGGCTCTTCCCATTGGTACCCTACCTATAGGATTGTTGTGTGTGAAAGCCACCTCTCTTAGGATGCAGTGTGCAATCTCCTGTTGTGCTGTATTTACTGAAATGCTTTTTAGAAGGAACTGGTGGTCTCCAAATGGAATTAGAAATAAAGTTCCCATTGGAAGATAGGGAACAGATGGGCCGAACAGACTTCTAGCCATTCATAAAGCATAGTTCCTGGTGGAGAGTGAAAATGGCACTGACACAAAGGTGTCTCTGATTACGGATAGACAGTGTGGGAAGACTGAGGTCAAGGTCTTCCTCCAGGTTTTCTGTACTTCAGCAGAAAAAATTCCATGGGTCACTTATTGGATTTTCAGTCCAGCTACTTGACCCTGTATTTAGTGAAAATTCCTGCAAGATTCTGGCTGTAGTTTGACTGTTAGTGTTGGTTCTCCCTTTCCTAAGTTTTGGTGTTTTTCTTTTGCAGGAGACTGCATCAGGAACTGCTTAACTTGATCACATTTTAACACCAAAGAGACCTTAAGAACCATCTGTCTTGTTAATAATTCTAATAATCATGCCATTTAATTAAATGAACAATGAACAGGAAGAACATGTTAATTAATCCTTCTCCCATGACTATCATTTATACTTTTGCTATTATACTGAATTTATATGATCAAATTCGGTTTTAAAATGTTGACACAATACCCATATAAAGATATTACCATGCTATTTTAGAATGTATTGAATACAGTAACTATTACTTAAGTAGTACTCTATATCTTTACACATAAAATCACATGTGAGCTTTTCTCTTTCTACAGAATTGGTGATGTGGGACTAAGACAACTTCTTGATGGTCCTGTGAGCACCAGGATAAGAGAGCTAAATTTAAGTAACTGTATCCACCTGAGCGATATCTCTATTGTGAAACTATCAGAGCGGTACGATAAAACAGTAAAATTTTACATCATATCATTAGTAATGTGTATCTGCTAATAGGAGACTTCAGAAATAGACCTTCAGAACCATTTGGGAAACACCAGGAGACTGAGAAACTGGTCTAATACTCAGGGAAATAAAATAAAATAAAAGACATTGGAGTCAGATAAAACTAGTCTTTTGATCATATCTGAGATGTTTCTTATTAATCTCACATTAGAGAATGTTTGAGATGGAGTCATTAATGAAGTTATCACTATCTAGACATGATTGACTTCTCTGCACTTTTCAAGGATATTATCTCTATGTAAGCATTTCCCAAGGGATGTTCTGGCTGGTGGGTTTATTCCTTATCCTCTTTACTTGTCAGAGACCTTGTGTACAGTAAGTAAGAGTCAATTCCTATAGCAAACGTGTAAGGGATTTTCTCATTGTACTTGGCTTTGTACTTTTAGTGGTCATTCATCATACTTACATGATAGCTTTTTGTATACATGTGATATTTTTTCTTATTAGAAATTATGATATGAAATGAAACCATAGACATAATAGATATATTTGCCATAGGAATAATACATAATATATAATAATATATAATATATAATAATCCACCTCCCTTTCATCCTACTTTGTAATGCCAAATTATTTTCCACTTTTAAGTTTACTTTTATTTTGAGAAAAAAAGTCCTTGCTTCAATACCATTTGCTTCTCTCAGATAGTTTTGGTATAAAGAAATTGCTACTGACCTGTGATTAAAAGTAAAATTAATTCTTCATACTGCTTTCTTTCAGCTGCCCTAATTTAAACTACTTGAGTTTACGAAATTGTGAATATTTGACTGACCTAGGAATTGAATATATCGTGAACATCTTTTCCTTGCTGTCAGTAGATCTCTCTGGAACACATATCTCTAATGAGGTAAAGAAAATTTTCAAAATATTTCAATGACTTTTATTGTTTCCAGTAATAGAATCATTTTTCACTTTGTAAACAATGAAGAGAATATAAATTATTTTTATTTCCTAAATTATTAGATTATAAAAGGTAAGATTAGGAATATTGTTTCTAGAATAGTGATAGATGAGAGTATTTGTAAATCAATGGTCTTGTTTCTCTGCTTACAAAGTGGCAAATTCAGTATTTTGAGCAAAGTCCTGACAGATTGGAATGTTACATGATAGACTGAAATCTGTTCCATTATAGAAGTTTGGTAATGTGGACATAATATATTCCAGTTGGCTTATATATGCTTTTCTTATGGACTGAACATTCTGTAAGACTACCTGAGTGCCTTGAGATCTCACTCTTTAGTTCAAAACTGAAGTCTAGAAATGGCCTTACCAAATCTACAGAAGGATACATTTTGAAGAACTAATTTCTGGGACGCCTGGGTGGCACAGTTGGTTAAGTGTTGGACTCTTGGTTTTGGCTCAGGTTGTGATCTCAGGGTCCTGAGATCGAGCCCCTTATCAGGGTCCATGCTCAGCACATAGTCTGCTTGGGACTCTCTCTCCCTTTCCCTCTAAAATAAATAAATAAATCTTTTAAAAAAGGCACTCATTTTTTGCAAGCTGCTGATGCTACTCATCAGAGTTGAAATTCGGTTCACACTCATCCTATCACTCCAGCACTGCTAATCAAAATGAAGATAAACCTGGAGAGATTTGCCAGGTTTCTGAAAAACTTCAGTGGGCTGTAGTTAGATAAGGAATGCATTGGCTTCTCTTGAAGATCAGGCATTGGACTCATCAAATATCACCTGTGAGGCCCTTCCTTCCAGGCAAGTATAGGAACTCTGAATATCTCTGCAAAGCCCTTCCTTCCAGGCAAGTATAGGAACTACTTCTCTATATGGATCTCCAGCCCCAGCACATCCTTGGACATGACCTATTTCTCTCCATTTCTCACTGCATTACTGATAATCCGTGTTGTGTCCATTCTTCCCCAACATTCAGTGGGCTCTGTTAGATGTAAGACTAGGTTCTTTCCTTTTTTTTTAATCTAAGAGTGAATTTAGATTCAGCCTCCATTCTGCTAGATGGTCTCGTCTCCCTTCCCTTGGGAGTGTCATCTCTGTGTGGTATGAGAGTGGAGTGGGGGCAGTTACATGGAGTCAACTTGTTATGGTGCAGGCAAGTCTGATCTTTTCAGTGTTGTCTTCTGTCCAAGCTGGGACACACTGGGATGGCTGTGAGCTCATTTGGTCTTTGGTTTCCTGTTTAGTTAGATCCCTGATGTGTCTTCCTAGTCCCAGCTCCAAAGGCCCTTTAAGTCTTCTGGCTCCTCTGTCATGGATGTCTTGCTTTGCGCCCCTTCTGAGCATGGGGAATCTGTGAGGGTGTCTTAGGTTTGTAGTCCTAGACATCCCCTGCAGACATTTTCCTGCTCTCACATCTAGGGGTATTGCCCTCAGGCCCGTGCCTCACCGTTCTCTCACTCTGCTGCAGAGTGGCTGACTCATGCCCACTAGATTCAGTTGGGTTTGGTGCTTGTGAGGCATTCGTGAGCAATTGGAGGATATGAAGAAGGAAGAGGCCAGAGTTTACCTCCGCCTTTCTTTGCATCATCAGCAGCAGCTGCATTTCCTACATGGTCCTCTGCCTCCAGTCAGGCCTCCTGTGGTTCCAGCTTCCCTGGTGACCTTGGCCCCTGGGGTCTAATAGCAACATCTCTTCTCATTGGTCTCCCAGCATAGGGGGAGTAGTGGCTTCCTGCTGCTGCTCACATCTCTAGATTTGTCATTATCCTATTTGGCTTCTCAGTGTCTCTGCCACAAATGTAGCCATTTTCCCGTCGCAGTGAAACTTCCTCAGTTGTGAACAGAGTTGTTTCTGTTTTCCTCTTTTGATCCTGGCTGACACAACAGCAAGCACAGGAAAACCCAGACGCCTTGTTGCTTTTCACAACCAACCAGGGAAGGGTGGGGATGGGCTCCCATTTACCTAGATCCCACCTACCAGGAGGTTCCAACATTCTCTCCAGATGAATAGAGTCCATGGAGGTCTGGAACAGGGCCCTGCATGGAGGATCTCCCAGCATCTCATTCTTTGCTTCCCTCTAGCTCCCCCTTCCTCTACTCTTTCCCTCCACCCCTCCTTCCTCTCCCTTTCCCTGCTCTCTCCCTTCTCTTCTCCTTCCCTTTCTGTTCCTCTTCTTTGTTCTCTTTTCTGCTCTTCTTTTCTCTTGACATAGACTAATGTTCCAACTGATTACATGGTTTGAAAAATATTATGTCTGAAGACTTCCATGGTTTAAAATTTAAAGTTTGAAGGCCTGGGATTTTTTTTTTTTCCTCCTGTATTCTTCTGTAAAAGCCTTCCCCTGACAACTACAAGTAGATGCCCAGCTGCTGTTAGAAGGGTCATGAGGTAACAAGAAGCAGAGGATCAAAGCACATTATAAAACACATTAAAATATGATTCCACCACAGCAGTCATCACAAGCCTGGAGTGTCTGGTGAACATTTGTGGAACAAAAGCAGTGAAGCTTAAATGCTTTATCCTAGGTTTTGGCATTTCGGAAAAACTCAGTTTTTACTTTCAAAGACCACATATTAAAGTTTTATCTACTGAGGACAAGTTAAAAACTTAGGATATAGGGGTGCCTGGGTGGCCCAGGCAGTTAAGCGCCTGCCTTTGGCTCAGGTCATGATCCCAGGGTCCTGGCATGGAGCCCTAATCAGGCTCTCTGCTCAGCAGGGAGCCTGCTTCTCCCTCTCCCTCTGCTTGTATGTTCTCTCTATCTTTCTCTGTCAAATGAATAAGCAAAATCTTTAAAAAAAAACCTTAGGATATAGCCTCAAGTCCCATTCACAGTTTTTTTTTTTTTTCTTGTAAAGAATATACACAATCTGAGAGAGCTGTAAATGGCTATGTATGGGGAGAATGCTAGTTATGTTCTGCTAAAATATTGAAAAATAAGTCTTCTGAAGGTTTTTGTTTTCTTACTCCAAATTGGTTAAATTCTGATCTAAAAGTCAAATGATTGACAATACAGTACTAGAACAGCTGTGGAAGCTAATCTCAAACAGTCAAAATAAAATGAGTAGCTCAGGGGCACCTGGGTGGCTCAGTCGTTAAGCGTCTGCCTTCGGCTCAGGTCATGATCTCAGGGTCCTGGGATCGAGCCCCGCATCGGGCTCCCTGCTCTGCGGGAAGCCTGCTTCTCCTTCTCCCACTCCCCCTGCTTGTGTTCCTGCTCTTGCTATCTCTCTCTCTGTCAAATAAATAAATAAAATCTTTAAAAAAAATAAAAATAAAAAAAATAAAATGAGTAGCTCAGTTATCAATTTGGGCAGCTAACCACCAGTCTGGATTGTAGGTCTGATGAAGTGCAAATCTGACTGGAGACTTAACATTTGGGATTTAAACCCTGGAATGTTGCAGATATTCACTAGAGATCAAATGTGACCAATTGTGCCTCTTGAAAAAAAAAGTTTCTTACATTTTCTACTAATTATGTTCACTCTCAGTTCTTTTCAATAATGAGTTTTCAGTTAGAATCATACTACTCATTTGGTTAACAAATCTTTATTCTGACTACTTTGTACTCAGTGCTGGGGATGCTGGAATGGACAAAGCAGACATGGCTCCTCAGACATGGGGCAAGTGGTTACAAGCCATGATGGGTGTGGGAAACAACCTCTCTCACAGAGAAGACCTTTTCTAAGAGAGAAAGAAGGGGTATGCGCTGAGCCAAAGAAACAGCCTGAATAAAGACACAGAGGTTTAAAAGTATGGTGGCACCAAGGAAATCTGCACATTTGGGTATGGCTTGATTGTGAGGAGACTGGTGAGAGATGATGCTTAAGAGGTACAGGACCAGGTCACGAGGGGTGCAGAAGCCACATTCCACGAGGAATTTATTTTCTGCCCTTTTGGCAATGGAAGGACACTTGGTATCATCAATTAGGCTGTAACAAGGTCAGTTAGACAAGTTTTAGAGATGACTCTACCTGCTGGATAGACATAGGAATAATAGATGAACTAGAGACTAATTATAAGGCAGTAGTCCAGGTACAAGCGTCTGTATTAAGGCTAGAGCGCTGGAGCAAAGTCTGCAGTTTTGAGAGGCATTGAGGAAAAAGAATCAACAGGAGATAGAAATAGACTGAGTATGGGGGTAAAGAAGAGAGGGAGAGAATCAAGGGTGATGCCAGATTTTTGGCTTGAGCCTCTGTATAAATGGCGGCGTCCCTTATTGAGTTGTGTCCTTTCCACAGTGGGAGGAGTAGGTTTGCTATTTCTCTGAGTAACCTGCAAAACAGATTTATAGAAATGTAGAGAGCTCAGAAGTAAGCAGAGAAATCACTGAAATTCACTCCTCAGAGGTAGAAGAGCTTTTTAGGTTTGTAGAGGGTGAAGGGGTGTTACATTCTGAAAATCATGGAAACTCATGAGGAAGTTAATCGGCAAAAGCACAAACACATATAGTTAAAAACTTAGAAAGATGTTTGAGAGCTAATTTAAATGGGGGAAGCAAAGAGGAGAGCACAGTTATTTCACACTGTATACATTTCTTATAATAATTAGAAAATAGTGAATAATGTATCATCCATGAATAAAAGTTGTTTAAGAAGCTATCTGGTAAGTGCATTTTAGAGAATGAGGAAATATATCAATTTTCCCTCTTCCAATATAAAGAGGACAGGGTTTACTAGTGAGGGAAATAGCTTACTAAAGTGATGGTATCTTTTTTTTTTTTTAAGATTCATTGTTTTATTTTAGAGAGAATGAGTGGGGGGAGGGGCAGATGGAGAATGAGAGAGGGAAACTCAAGCATACTCCACACTGAGCATGAAGCCCCACGCGGGGCTCAATGCAGGCTCCATGCGGGGCTCGATCTCACAACCCTGAAATCAGACCCGAGCTGAAACCAAGAGTTGAATGCCCAACTGACTACGCTACCCAGGTGCCCCT